GCAACACCAAATCCAGGGACGATCAGAGGGAGCAAGCAGAACTAAAGGAAGCTTGGCTATAAGACATCTGGGTGTAGGTCAGCTGCGGCAGTGCAGTGAACAGCAGGAGGCAGAACAGGGGGCTTGTGGTGCTCTTGAGGTCTGTGCACCAGGAATCCTTGTATTGCCCCAGTCTGGTGCTGCAGCAGAGTGAGGAGTGGCAGACAGAAATTCTTGGTCAGACACAAGAGCCAGCTGGGAGACAGAGCAGACAGGAAAAAAGACCTTCTTCAGAAGCAGAGTGAGGGACAAGGATCATCCACAGGCAGGTGTATGGAAGTGCCTGATGAGAGCAGGCTTTAGCAAGCCAGCGAGCAAGACAGAGATGGAGCAAGCTCCAGGGGCAAGCTCGTGTGGAGGCAGTCAGGAGCAGTCAGCCTTGCAGAAATCCTGAAAATACAGCATGTGGCTCAGGGACGATTTGACTGTGCTCAGTCCAGATGCTCATCTGAGCTATGGAACTTGAAAGCACAAACCCAACAGACCACAGAGAATGGAAAAAGACGGAATAGCAACACCACCAGGGAAGACCAGATAAACACAGACAAGTGATGACTGCCTTCATTCATACACCTAAACCAGAAGGACAGTAGGGCATCCTCTCTGCCACAGATACTGGGTTTATGATCATGTCCATCTCCCTTTTATCTCTCCAAATCCTTGAACTCCCAAACCAGAACAGAATAGCTCAATAATAGGTCTGAGCTTACAAAGAATGCTGGCCAGCAATTCTTACTTTGGTTTTGCTTTCAATTTGCAAATTGGGGCAGTTGCAATGTGGGCTTCCTGGGGCCTATCCAGCCCCCTTGGACTTGCTTCTTCTGGATCTTATCCTCTTTAATTTATGGTGGTCATGGTCTTGGGCTTCTCGAAATTCCAAGTCCACCAGAGTCTGATGTCTCCAAGGGATCTTGCTGGGTTGCTCCAAATGTTATGTAGTTCCTGACCCATGGGAAAAGACTATAGACTCAATCCAATCATAAACAAAAGATTTATTGATTACTGCTAGCAGGGCTGCAATCTCTGAGCCAAACTTGAGAATGGGAACGAGGGAGGGATTTTTCAAGCTGAAACCACAAGAAGACTGGTATCTGTACAAACAAGTCAAGTACAGTTCTGCTCCACCAAGATTAGGTCGTCAAGGCCCTGAATGTCTGCACAAGCAGGTTACAGAAACCGAAAAGCTGTTAGTCAAAACCATAACAAGCAAATGGTCGCAGTTATACATTCCTGGGTGGAAGGTCACTGAGTCAGGTTACTGGAAACTTATCTTCCAGAGACAAAGGGCTAATGGGAACCGAGATGGATGCCTAGCAGAAAATGAAGTCCCCGCCTCCCATCACCTCTAAAGACACTTAACCATCAGAGTGCAGTACTTGCCTGATTCCTTCAAGCTGTTGTCACACTGGGGTTCTTAGTTATGCCAACCAAGTGTCCTATTCTGTAAGAGGAAGCAAACCTTGATGTAGAGGCGGGCCAGCTGACTAACCGTAAGAGGACTGCTGATGAGAGCCTGAACTCCTAAGTAGCAGCTTGGATGGTGAGGACAGCTGCTGCCAGAGTTGGGGAGAGGGTGGGACAGCTTGATTGACAGCAGGATAAAGTCAAAGGAAAGGCAGAACATGCACTTGGGTTTCTGTATTGGGTGGTCAAGTGGGAAATCACGAACTTTGAGGAACACTGACACATTAAAAGTGAGCAGTTAAGAGTCCATTGGCTAGAGGGTACCTCAGAACCAAAGGCAGAGATGAGTGATGTCACTGTGGGAAGTAGCATCTGATGCACAACTCAACCCTTGAAGGTCTTTTCATAAGATCCACTAAGACACAGAAGTGGCTTGGGAATCTGTGCGAGGTGGAGATGGACAATTAATCCAGGACCCACTGTAAATGATACTGGTGACGGAGAGGAGAGAATGCTTCTGCCACGGCGGGACTGTTGCAGCACACATGTTCTCTGCAGGGTGTTGGGGGACAGGAGAGAAGAACTTCTGGAGCTTGTGGAAAGGAAAGAGAAATCAAAGCTGGTACCACCTGGGGACCACCGCCTGGGGAGGAGTCTGCAACAGGTGCTCTGATTCCTCTGGGCCTGAGGAAAAGCCGTGTGTGTAGGGTGGGGGCAAAACAAGGCCTTGGAGGTGCTAGTTTGGAGAACCCAGGGAGTTTGTAGTCTTCAGTATCAATTTTCTTGATGAGGCAGGAGAGACTGATATTCTTGAGGAAGAGAGAAGACAGTGGGACTGTTTGGGCTTGAGGAAGATAAAAGTCTGAAAGTGTTCTTAGGAGAAGGGAAAAACAAACCAATTAATATACAGAAGTGGGCAGCTGGCCTATAGGTTCTGTAGTGTTATTGTGACTTTAATATTTACTGATGGCAAAGAAAAGCACAGTCCCAGGAGTTGATGCAATAACTAATGATTAAGAGATGGGCTGCCTAATACCTCTGTCGTCAAGGCTTCTGTTTGTGTGGATGCACAGCAAGGGTGTTTAGGGACCCAGATGCTGTGCGGACAGAACCTTCTCTGCGTCCACCCTCAAAAGCAATTGCCCCCACCCTAGACTTCTAGTTTTCAAACTGAGGAATTAATTCCTGCTGTATAAGCCACTCAGTCTGTGGTATTTTGTTCTGGCAACTCAAACCAATGAAAGATAGCACCATATAATAAAACCAGTACATTACAAAGACTATATATATATATATATATTTCAGTCAAATTACTTCTTATTAGAGAATTCCTCTTGGATTTTGAGCAGCAAGTATCCCAAATGCTGGATAGCATGCCTCAGAAGGCAGAGTGACCTGTCTAGGGGACTCAGGGTAGTTCGTAGCCTCCATTTCTTTAGGCTCATTTAGGTGATTGGCTCTCAATCATGGCTTTATTAGGACTGAATTTCAGCTAGAAACCGGTATGAAATACGCTGGGAACACTTGCTCCCCAGGGCCATTAAATCACCTTGTTATTTATCACCCTCTAGAATCCTCTCATTTACATGTGGTCTCTTCTCATACAAGTTAATCTGAATTTGTTTAGACAATTTTATGGGTATTATAAAACCACAATTGAATTTCAGACCTTTGTAGCAGCCCAGCTGAGATGCGCTCCAATTAGAAGTAATTGCTGTTAGCGCTGTTATGATGTGGTGGGTGCCCGCGCAGGCTTGGACCTTTGTTCTGCTGAATTCCCTGAGAGCCACTTCTTTAGCCTTCAACTAAATAGACAGGCCCCAGAATACACGCTCTCAGAAGCGCAGTATAGGAGCAATATTGTGCCTCTCTCCTAATTAACCTTGTTAGCCAAGGATTTACAGCATCAGTTGGTCGGTCGGAGGGGGCTTTGATCCTCTCACTACGCATCCACAGTGGTGGAGAATCCTGTGTGAAGTGAAATGCTTTGTATTCTTTGGCATACACTAAATCCCTTTTTAAAATTCTTTGGGGGGCATGATGGAGTGTTTTTGTTTAATGAAATGATGTGTGGGAAGCATTTAGCGTAGTGCTGGACACAGTAAATATTAGTTATCATTGCTATCGCGGCATGATATTTGAGGTAGAATGTAAAGGAACAGAACCGGTTTCTAGGATCCCGAAGAACATTCAAGAGCACCCAGTCACCTGCACTGCGTGACTGACGCCTCCAAGAGCATCTTACCCAGGAGATACTTAAATTCTATATTCCTTTGGCTTTTAGAGCGTCTGCCAAGATAACTCTCCCTTCCAGCCTCATCAGAGGCAAGATACAAAAAAGAATCCATTTCTCCCACAGGGTGAATGAGTTGCTGGAATATGGTAATTAACATATGTTTCTTAATCTCGCTTTTATAGTTAATTTACAAAGCATGAAAGCAGTTTGCCAGTTGATTAGACTTCAATAACACAATTGCGTGGAGGCGAGGGTGCCGCTAATGAATACAGATGAAAGAAATTGTTCATTCTGTGAAAAACACCTAGCTGTGAATCCGGGTTTGAATTACCAAGTTAAACAGTGGAATCCGCTCTGGGTGTGGCCTTCGGATCAGTTAGTGACAACCAATCTAACTCAGTAAAATTTCATTTTCAGAGTAAAAAACAACCAGTTTCTGATCTCGTCTTGGATAAAGATGTGATCCCACCTGAAAGCCTGGAGTAATGTCACGGCCAGGAAAGCCCTGGAGCCTTGTATCGGACAGGCATTTATCTACCGAGTGCCACTTGACAGGGCGCTGGGCAGTGGGCTGCTTAATTCTGCCAGTCTGACAGGATGCGACCAAGTGTGAGAGTTACTCTGTCTGTGTTACCTGGAGGAGGTAAACTAGGTAGGAGGACCCACCCCGTGGGCTGCACGGCTGCGTGGGCGGCACCGCTGCATGGGCGGAGGGCTAGCTGAGTACCGGCATTCATCTTGCTCTCTGATTTTGGGGGTACCGCCACTTTCGCACCCTATTGATTGTCCTTTCAAATCGAGTTCAGATAAACGCTCTTTCCCAAGCTCCTTTTGTCACGTGTTCTGTCATAGCCGCTCAGACAACTGAAGCAGTAAGCCCCTTGCATACTCATGGCCCTTGTTCAAAGGAGCCCAAAGTGAGAACAAGGCCATAGAAGATCTGCCTTTCTGCGTGTCCTCTGGAGAGAGGTCTTGCTGCAAGAAGCTCAAGGCACCTCCTTTGCCCCGTCAAGATTCAACCCCAGCGACCTGCTCCTAGGAGCTGCCATAATTAGGGCAGCTCATTGACCTCACCTCTATCTCCTAGAATTAAAATTTTTGTTTCGTTTTTAAAATGTTTTAAAATTGAAATACCCCTCCCCCATTCTCCTCCCTCCAGCCCTTCCCAGTTACTCTACACTCATTCTCATGGGTTATATTTGTTACATACACATATATCTGTAAGCATCAATATATATAAATAGAACTTGCTGAGTCTGTCTTTGTTGTTTGTATGTGTATAGTTTCACTGACATAGGGGTTGAAATAGAAATGACAAAAGAGTCATTTTTATTTTTCAAACAACAGCAAAAACACCAAAAGAAAAAGAAAAACACTCAACCAAAAACAAAACAAAACAAAACAATTAAATTGCATTTAAATGACACTGGAAGGACATTCTGGTCCATAGAGGAAGATGGGTTATACTTGTCTTTGGGTTCGGTCAGACGGAAGCACCTTTCTTCTTTGATAGAAGCCTGCTGTGGCAATGGGCATCAGATGACACTGGGCATGGAGCTTGGCTTTAAGCTTTCTTCTTTGGGCCAGTGAAGCCATCCATCACGTGGAAGACTCCCAGATAGTCAGCTATCAGCATTCCTGTCTTGACAGGCAAGAAGCTACAAAGAACGCAAGAGGAAACGTTTTTGGTTACCATCCGCGAACACATCTCGGCTAGGTCAGTCGAAGACAGTCGCTTGCGCAGAAGAAGTCACTTGTTCATGCACTCATCACACAGGCTGGGGCTCAGAGGGTTCCTGCACGGCTTGGGATATTCAATTTGCTCATTTTGGTCTCCAAAATATCACCAACTTAGAGTAGCGTGTGTACTCTGAAGATACTGGGATTGTTGGCACATGCTGGAGTAGGTGGGTCTGCCGCTGGCACTTTCAATGCCAGCTTAGGCAATTTACCAGCTTGTACACCTCATATATAAGCTGAGGGTGTCCCTCTTTCTACGACCACTGCGAGGATGAGACACAACAGACTCTCCCGCAGCTGGCCAACCAAGCTAAGGTATTTGTGCTTTCCATCCCCAGCTCTGCCTGGGAAGACACACAGATGCCTCTGCCCGCCCCCCGCTGACCTTGACAACTAACAGTTCAGAGTAACTGACAGTAGCTGCAGAGAACCTGAGATTTGTTTTCGGGGTGGGGTGAGGGAAAGAGTTTGAGCCCACTGCTGCTCTATTTGACACGCCAAGGCCTACAAGTGGTCTCTGTGTTCCACAGCTTCAGGGCTCTGGTAAACTGTTGACATACTAGGGAGATTTCCATCAGTCAGCCCTTAAATCTTCGCTTGCCGCCCCCTTCTCACTGCAGTTCTGAGATTCTCTTTCCTGGCTTGATATGTATGCAAGACTTATGATGCCCAGGATAGCTTCTTTCGGTAGGGCTGGAGGTCTTGAGACAGGATCTCACTATGCAGCCCAGGATGGCAGATGCATAGCAGCCCCTCTTGCTTCAGCCTCCCTAACGCTAGTGTCATGGCTATGAACAGCTTGCCCACCTAGTCTTTTTTTTCTCACATGACATCTATCCCCGACAAGCCAATTTCTAACTCGATAGGGGATGCTTTGTATCTTGTTATTTTATGTAACCCCAGGTCCTTGAACAGTGAGTGCTGCATGGCTAACACACAGCTCTCTACGTGTCTAAAGGAGCGTTTCATGTAATTTCTCTCTCATTGAACCCATTTGTTTTTCTTCTACTTCTCCAGAATGATGTAGTCCTTCAGCAAAACATGTCCCAGAATGGGCAGGCCATAAAAGTCATAGCTCATGATCCAGAGTAAAAAAAAAAAATGAAGCTTCATGTTCTTAAGAGTTAGCTCTGTCATAGCGCCATCTGCACGTACACAAGCCCTACCCATTGTGCTGTGGGGACACACACTGTCCAATACCCAGATATTATCTAATCTGTATGCACCGCCAAAAACTATCATTGTGGACAAGGCAACTGAGGCCTGGACAGCAGAGGGCATGTAAGAATTACAGGCTTGATACAGAGCGGGGCCATAAGTCTGGGTTTCGAATTGCTTCTCAAAGACCGCTTGTGCTGCCTCCCTCCCACAGCCTCTTGGCTGCAGGGTTCCCTCCTGTAGTAGAGGAAGGATGGAAAAGGAAAGCCTGTAAGGACACTTTCTGTTTCTAAGTAGATACACTTAGTTAGTGGGAAAAGCATGTCTGTGACTGTTAGCCATGCGGCCAATGTGAAGAATAACGATTATGCTCGAACATTTGAAGAACTGTCATTGTGATCGGGAGTGGAGCCGTGTACAGAACCGGTGGGGCCAAGAGAGGAGTAACAGGAGGTACCGAAAAGACCGATTCCACTCAACAGGAAGTGGTGGCTGGCCGTGGAGTGTGTTCTTTGTAAAGGTGTGGTCCCTGGGAGGGGAAGCACAAACACATCCATCACTGAAACTGAACTGAGAGACTAGGAATGAGCAGGGGGCTCAGCAGCTAAGCAGCAGCCTGCAGGTGGGCCAGTGTTCTCAAGGTGTTGGTGCTGGATTTCAGCAGTGAAACGCAGTGTAGGACACAGGGGTAGGCAATGGTGCTTTCTTCTCCTCCCTCCCTCTTTCTTTTTCTTCCTCCCTTCCTTCCCTTCCTTTTTTTATTCCTTTCTTTCTTCTTCCTTGTTTTCCGTTCATTTCTTTCCTTCTTTTCTCTTTCTTTCTCTCTTTTTCCTTTCCTTCATCTTTCCTTCCTTTCTTCTTCCCTCCCCCTCTCCCTTTTCTCTCTTCTTTCTTTCTTTCTTTCTTTCTTTCTTTCTTTCTTTCTTTCTTTCTTTTCTGGTGCAGGAACTCAAGTCCAGAACCTTGTGTAAGCCAGGAAAGCACTCTACTACTAACCTAGACCCAGCCCTCTTTTGCCTGATTTGAAGATTTTTTTCTTCTCTAGTTGATAAAATTTAGCAGCAATTGCTAGTTTTACCAACACTGCAGTTTCTTGAGGCATCTGGCTGACTGTACTGGAGGAAGCACAGATCCCATATCTACGCTGACACAATCATTTTAGGACAAGTGTAAGAACGTCGTTACCAAACAGAAACCAGGTATCTATTTGAAGCTGTCCAGAGCTCATTTAGTAAGACCACTAAGTTTTGACAATAAGGCTAAGTTGTTAGAGAGGGTCTCTGGAATCATGGTGGGGGGCACTGCAACTGAAGAAATTGTCATGGAGATGAGAATCAGTATGGAGAACATTTTCCTTTTAGAAATCCATTAATCTAACAAGTGCTTTCCGAGTGGCTCTTTCTGGTAGGATGTGGGAAAGGTGGTGATTGGCGCATGGGGAAACGTGGAGGCGGATGCCATTACCTTTTTAAGAACATTATGAAGTATAAAAACTTTGGCATATACAGGTACAGCTTCTCCTGCAGAATTGCTTCCACTATTTTTCTGACTGCATATTCTGGCTCCAGAATTGGTAGCAGAAAAGGACACCTAATGTAAGACAAAAACTCAAATTAATAAAAAAAAAATCATTCCTCAGGGTTAGGGATAAAGAATTTATAAGACATTGCCATATCTATTTCTTGCTATTTTTAGATTTGTGCACTTATTGTCAAAGTAGTAATAGCACAAATATAATATGAAATGGAAACATATTGTAATTAATACGTTCATGTTACAAATAGTAACCCATATAGAACCTTATTGAGTGGTCTAATGATTTGGGATTCCCCTCTGTAATCTGTGACTATGTTTTATTATGGTTAATAAAGAAGCTGATTGGGCCTCTCACAGGGCAGAACAGAGAAAAGCAGGAATTCCAAAGCAGAGATAGATGAGAAAGTAGGCGGAGTCAGTAAGACTCCATGTAGCCGCCAGAGGAGACAGGCACCTAGAACTTTAACTGGTAAGCCACAGCATTGTGGCAATACACAGATTCATAGAAATGGGTTAATTTAAGATGTAAGAGCTAGCTAGAAATACGCTTAAGCTATTGGCTAAACAGTATTGCAATTAATATAATTCCTGTGCAGTTATTTTGGGTCTGCGCAGCCAGGGAACAAACAAGCAGTCTCCACCACGGACTAAGCGTGACATGAGTCAGTGGGAACAAACTGGGCTGTGTTCAGAAGATGTAAATCTGGGTATTTGTGTCTGTAAGGCCTGAAGGCATAAGGCCTAAATTTACACCTAAGCCTGGCCTCCATATGGCGATCTGGATCAAGAGTTGGATCTCGGAAAGTAATTAGGCCATGGGAGCGGGGGGCCCTTGTGAAGGAGATTAGTGCCCTTATGGGAAGAGCCACAGCAGAAGTGGACTCTCCCTCTGTCCTTCCCACTCTTTTTATCCCTTGGCCAACAAGGTCTAACTAACAAAACAGTGGCCATACACCTCACTCCACCCTGGCTCTTGAACTTGCAGCCTGTAGTGCTATCAATAGGACCTTTCTGGGGTTGATCCACACACGGTGTTATTTGGGAAATTCTGCTGTCAATCCAGACATATGGTGTTCTTTTAAGGAATCTTGGGGCTGTTTTCCTTTAATGATGTCTAGTTTAACTGGGCTCAATCAAGAAGCCTGAATGGCATTGGGTGGAACAGAGGAACAGAGAAGCAGATCTGGGGCCACAGAACATATCTGGACACTGGTGATACACCGAATGCACCAATCAGCAGCTTAAACACACGTGTGAGCTACAATTCTGAAACCACTCATGGACCAGAAAACATTTTAGAAAAGACCCAAGCAACTCCAAGAGAAGAGTACAATCGGGTGGGCAGACAGCCAATTTAAATGCCTTTAAAATCAAAAGGCATACTTACGCAGTCGTGCAACCTTCAAACATTCCGGTTTTGATAAAGAATGGGCACACAATTGTAGTTTTGATCCCATTTTGTTTTTGAGCAGATGTTTCCAGAAACACAGATTCAGCGAATCCAAAGGCTGCGAATTTACTTGCACAATAGTCTGGGGGGGGGGGGGGAGAAAGAGAGAGAGAGAGAGAGAGAGAGAGAGAGAGAGAGAGAGAGAATGAGAGAGAGAGGAATTGTTGTTCAGGTCTGCACGGCCCCTTGCATTCTGTCACCATGCGGCTCAGTGACTGAGTTTTTCATCATGCAAAGGTTAATGACAGCTGTGCACTGAGCAAGTCTGCCTCCATCTTTCCAGTTGCTCAGGTGATCATTAGCATCAGCTTTTAGCAGTTCCATGGTGCTCGCTAGTTTGAAGTAAATTTGACACAGCTAGAGTTATTGGAGAGGAGGGAGCCTCAATTGAGAAAATGCTTCCATAATTCCAGGCAAGCCTATAGGGAATTTTCTTAATTAGTAATCAATGTGGGAGGGCCCAGTGCATTGTGGGTGGTCCTGGGTTCTCTGAGAAAGCAGGCTGTGTCAATCATGTTGAGCAAGCCAGCAAACAGCACCCTCCACGACTTCTACATCAGCTCCCGCCTCCAGGATCCTGCTCTGTTTGAATTTCTGTCCTGACTTCCTTCAGTGATGAACAGCAATGCTGAAGTGTAAGCCACATAAACTGTTTCCTTCCCAAGTAGCTTTGGCCATGGTGTTTCATCACGGCAATAGTAATCTCAACTAAGACAATTTTATTTTAAAATAAGTCAAGGACAACACTTTTTAAAAGCTATAATTGCATGGTGCCTTTAAGAGATTATAGTTATATATTTATTTATATAACTTTTATTTGCTTGGAGTAACTGAAAATGTTATGTGACTTACTTTATTATAGTGATTTAGAACCAGATGCATAACAGCTCCAAGGTCTATTTGTATTGTCAAGCTTTTAAATGACATTACATTAAAGTCACTCATGATAGTAATTACAACAGAAGTTGTGGCAACCATTTCAAAATGATCGTATGGGGAGGAATATGCAGTAAGTAGGAACATGGGCCATGAAATGATATGTTAATAACTGAGTGGACTCCGAGATGAGAAAGACTGCAGGATGCTCTCCTAGACCACAGTGCCAGAGTCACTTACAAGCCATTGCTTGTTGAGCTGTGACAACTATGACACAGGATGAAGGATGACCAGTCCTTACTTCAAATCACATAACCTCAGGAAGTACAGATACATACAAAATACATAAAATAGTAAGTAATATAGGGACCTAAGCAAGAATGCTCAGCATGGTCTGTGGAACTTGGGACTATAAATGTCCTTCCAACCATAAACCTTGTATTTCCAGTAATGAGCTTCTGGAACACAGCAAGACAAAGTTTCCAGTCAGGGCCACTCACAGGGTTCTGCCAGCTCCCCCACCCCCGGGACAAAACACTGAGATAATCAGCTTGGAAGGAGGAAGGCTTTACTTCGGCTTACAGCTTTAAGGGTTTTTCTTCACGGTTACTTGGTCTTGTTGCTTTTGGACCAAGGCAAAGCAATATCATCATGCATGGGCATGTGACAGAGGAAACCAGCTTACCTCATGGCGGTCGAGAGACAGGGAAGGTAGCAGGAAGGAGCCAGGACTTCAGCCTCTGCTCTGTGGGCACACTCCCAGTGACCTCCTAACTTCCTTTCACCTGGTCACATCCTCTGTCAGTTCTACCATGTCCCCGGAATGCCAAGGCTTTTACACAAACCCCTGGCAGTTTTACACACAGGCATAGATAATGTCAGTGTGACAGTTTAGAACCGTTTTAAACCAGACTCTAGGGGAAGTTAGTGTTGGTGACCTACACACCCTATGTGAGGCAGACTCCAGGGGAAGGAGGTGTCTGTCCCAAGTTAGGCCTTCTTGACTAGAGATCTTTGTGAATCTCTTTTTCACTTGGCAACTTTGGTTATCAAATCAGCTGGGCATGGGGAGAGAGCTGAGACTGACAGGACGTGCAGGCGGTTGGCCAGTGGAGAAGTGAGAAGGTTCCTTTGCTTTCCAAACTCTGTAGATTACATCAGGGACCACCTAACAGAAGTCCAGGGGAAGGCTGCTGGGCTCCTTAGCATCCTGCAACAGTGCCGAGTGAATTTGATCTCTGAACACAGCTCTGCTGCTGAGCTCTCTTCCTCCCTCCCCATCTCCCTTCTCTCTTGAGTAGACAGGGCTGCACGAGACCTCAAGACTCCAAAGCGTGTAGTCCAGGTTGACGTCTGTCTATCAACAGCAGTTCTGCTGCCTAGAGCAAGTCTCGCCCACATTGCTGATCAGACCTTCAGTGCGTTGACCTTTTTATTCTTAGGGCATGAGGTGAATGCTAGTGACTTAGCGCTATTCTGCAAGCTGAAGTTGGTCAGAAATGGTCTTACCTGCCAGTCCATTGACTCCAACTAGTCCAGCCGAACTTGAAATGCAAACCAAATGGCCATGGTTGTTAGCAACCATGGCAGGCAGGAAGGCTTTATATGTCTAAGAAGAGCAAAGGAAAGCCCTTAATACTTAATAACACGTGCTATGCTTTTCTCAGATGTATATGTGGATATTGTGAGTAAAACATTTTTTAAACTAATGAAATGCTTTAAAGGCAATGGATATAAGAAACTAAGCACACATTAAAGAGTATTTTATACCATTAAACTATTATCTCACCATGAAATTGTCAATAATATTAAAACAGTTTATCCATATTAATGCTTTGTTTGTATATGCAATATATTATATATATATAATATATTAATACAGTATATAATGTTGTATATGTGTGTACAACATTAAGATCACAATCAACGTGGTGCAGGAAAATCTTTGTTGTGACAGTCATAATCCAAAACCCATAAGCACTTATGGACATTGTTGTTTTGGTGTATATTACATTTCTTTCTTTGGCTTAATTCTCATTTTAAAACCTTTCCTGAACACAGTTCACAAGACACACTGCTTCCATTGAGGAAGAACTTTGTTTTAAACCAGTCTATACTTCTTTGAATGGTGGCCTTTTATTTTCAATACTAATTCATAAAGTAAAATATATTTTCAGACAGTGGGCACTTAGGCTGTGTCTCAGTCTACAGAACACCTTCATTTTTTAACTGAGACTCTACAGAAAAGTGATACAGGAAGGGAAATGGACTTCTGAGGAAGATGTCTTGAACAACAAGCAGAAATTAACCACAGATACAGACAAGGAGATTAAGAAAATGGGTTCTAGGCTTGAGAAACAGTTCTGTGGGTGTTTGTTGTCTGTACACACACACACACACACCACACACACACACACACACACACACACAAACACACAAACCAAACTAACCCCCCCAAATCAAAGCTAACAACAACATTAAAATAGAAAGAACTAAAAGCAGCCTCCTATAAAGGCCCAGTCTCTCCTCTCTTCAGTCACCTGCTTGACACTGCTTTGTTTCAGAGAAAGAGGCAAGAAAATCAAGTGAAGAAGACAGGCAGCATCGTAACAAGGACCCTGTGTTCAGGGTCCAGTGGCCCCTCTGTGGCTCTGCTGTGAGGGCTGGAGCCCAGCGGTCAGGCAGTTATGTGAGCCTCTGTCAATCAAGTCATATGCCCATGCTTGGTCACACACAGGATTTCAAAGATATGAAGCACCCAGAAGGAAGCGACACACAGGAGAGGATGGTAGGGGCCAGGGAAACAAGAATGGCAGAGAAAGAGAAGAAGACTAGGGAAAAACAGAAGTAGGACAGCCATGAAAGCCACGGGAGCAGACTCCAAAGGGAACTGAACTGTCTAGATGCAAAGATGTAAGTAAACTCACCACACACACACACACACACACACACACACACACACATCCCACAAATGAGAGGACATTTGGGACAAAATAAGTAATTCCATAGGGATACAACAGTTTCTGACATCTGGGTCTTTCTATTTTTCTTCCGTAAGGACTCGTGTGAGTTCCTACCCATAGGTTGTGTAAGGACCCATGTCGGTCCCTAACTTTAGGCTGTCTAAGGACCCATGTGGGTTTCTAACTTTAGGTTGTATAAGGACCGTGTGAGTTCCTAACCATAGGCTGTGTCAGGACCTGTGTGGGTTCCTAACTTTAGGCTGTGTAAGGACCTGTGTGGGTTCCTGGTGTGGGAGGCCCTTCTGTCACTGTTTTTATTGGTTAATGAATAAAGAACTTCTTTGAGCCTATGGCAAGGGCAGAACAGAACTAGCCAGAAAAAGCTAGGCTGTATGCTGGGAGAAAGGAGGGCGGAGTCAGGGAGTCACCCGAGACAGACCTGGGAATTTTACCCGGTAAGTCACAGCCATGTGGCAATACACAGATTAATAAAAATGGGTTAAACTAATATGTAAGAGTTAGCCAATAAGAAGCTAGAGCTAATGGGCCAAGCAGTGATTTAATTAATAAAGTTTCTGTGTTATTATTTCAGGGCTAAGTGGCTGGGAACAAACGAGCACCCTCCTTACTGCAGGTTCCTGATATTAGTCTGTGTAAGGACCCATGTGGGTTCCTAACATTAGTCTATGTAAGGACCCGTGTGGGCTCCTATCCATAGGCTGTGTAAGGACCTGTGTGAGTTCCTCACTATAGGCTGTGTAAAGACCCCTGTGGGTTCCCAACCTCCCCCATGATTAAGATGTGTGTTTTATTTAGACCTTGATAATATTGTTATAGAGCAGGAGAAAAATACTTCGAATGCCTGAATAAATTTGCATTTAGTACGAGAATAAAAAGAATCACCCATAAATGTGCTTTGAAATTGACATCAAGTGACTTTTCCATGAGGTCATCGGGACAGTCGAGGAACTTCTTGCCTGTTACAATGCCAGCATTGTTGATGAGGATAGAGACATCACCGACTTCTTTTTTAACCTGGATTGGATGAGAAGAATGCCACCATCAAACCGGTACTTCTGTATGTGATCTCTTTCCCAATATTTATATAGTATTGATCTGTACTTCAGGCTGGATCTACATGCTCATCACAGAGTCCACACTGCTGCAATAGATGTGTAAGCCCAACACTGCACTTCCTTCTCTCCAGCACAGACCGGAATGCTATGACACCACTTTCCTCCTCGACTCTGAGCTCACCTTACCACCTACGTCTAGGAACCTTGTTGTGTGTTCTGCATTGGTAGCACATCATTCTAGTCAAATGACAGATATAAGAATAGCTTTAATATAACCAAAAAGCACATAGACCCCATCCTGGCATCCGCGGAGAGAGGGAGGAGGCAGGAGCCCATGAGAAGAAAGAAAATATATATCTTGAATATAAGGCAGATTAGAATCTGCCTGTCTTGTTTTCCTCAGCAGACTGGCTTTCTTCTCTCCACCTCGAACTTTTAGGAACAAGATCTGTGAGTCATGTTTGTTGCTGAAATACCAGCTTGGAATAGCATCCAGGCACTGTTGCTTTAGAAGGTGTAATACTGGACCCCTCCCCTCTGACAGCCTTCAGTTTGTCATCTTGGTTCCTAACACTTGTGAGCCTTTCCAGGATGATGACAAAGCTGGTAATGTCCCTATGTTCTCCTTTGCGTCCCCTATTTCATCAGTGCCATTTAAATCACACACTAGCAGTAACCTGACCCCAACCACTGAAAAAGAATGACCCATAGAAGTTACCATGTGTCACAAAGGACACTCACGGCAGTTCCTCTTGTATCTCTAGCTGTGAGTGTGTGTACCCATGTGTGTGCATGTATGCATATGAGTATATGTGTCTGTGCATGTCTTTGCATATGTGTGTGTACACAGAGGTATGTGTGGGTATATTTGTGTGTGCACATGTACATATGAATATGTGCGTGCATGTGTGTGTGTGTGCACCTGACAGAATGGATAGTTTGAAGGACATCAAGTATTGCAGAATGGTACTGGTGAGGACATGTCACTGTGGAAAGGCAGAAGCTGCTGTGATGGGAGGCCTGGTCTCAGCATCTGAGTGACACGCCTGGGTTTTCCCGTAGCTGACTAGGTCTGTGGACACAGGGACAGTGAGACCCTGCATTCTGTACCAGGTTTCACATAAAGCACTGGATAAAATCTAAATACATGTATAACACGAGCGAGACTATGACACGGTGGACCATTTCAGAAGTCAAGTATCTGGTAGAGATTCAGGAGACAGGGAGGGAATGATTTATAGAACCCTGCACTAATTTGCCACTGAGACGAAGGTCTTCCGTGTGTGAGGATAGGCTCATGATGCTGAAGCCTGGCTAGAGAGGTTGTTTGTAGTTAGTGCAAGTCAGCATGTTAGGTGATAGGTGCTTCCTAGGTAAAGAGCTACAGCTGACCAGTTGACTGCACTTGAGATGCGCTCCCAGAGTGAGCCTGGCTGAGTTTATCAGGTTTGGATTCTCAGACAGCATCAGACAGTCTGTCCTGGAATAAGTGATAAGAAAGAAGGGAAGTGGAAAGGCTGTTGGAGCAAGCTGACTTAGATCCTTCCTTTCCACCAAACTGGGCAACACCAAGTCCCCTAGTTGGCCCGGGAGAGTAGTGCGTGGTGTATGTATCCCAGTATGGATATAAAAAGCATTTAGAGCAGTGGTTCTCAACCTTCCTAATGCTGAGACCTTTTAATACAGTTCCTCATATTGTGGTGACCCAACTATAAAATTATTTTTGTTGCTTCTTCATAACTGCAATCTTGCTACTGTTATGAATCGTAATATAACTGTCTGATAAGCAAGATATCTGATATGAGACCCCTGTGAAATTGAGAACCATTATTTTAGAGGCTTTGGATGTAATTCAATACTGGAGCAAATGCTTAGAAAGTACCAAGACCCTGGGTTCAAGCCCCACTACCATCAAAATCAAATAGCTATTCTCAGGATGAGAATTCTTGTTTTCTTATGAGTACCTGTAAAAAGCACATATTCTGATGGAAGGCATGAAGGAATGGGAGGGTGGACCTATCCTGGATTTAACTCAGACTGTACAGGGTGCCCACATACTAACTATCTGATCTCGGACAAAGCACTTGGCATTTGTTTCTGGCCCCTCGAAGAAGGATTCTTCCACATTTTATTCCTTCTTACACTGCACTAATACAGTTGGCACATGGGACGGGTGTGATCCAGAGCACAGGGTGCCACACAGGAATCAAGAAACTCAAGTCCTGGCCATACCTTTGTCAATTATCAGCTCTGTTCCTAAAAGAAGCTACATGTCGGCACAGATTCCCTGTCCTTATTTTCGGAGGGGAGTAATAATTTACCTTATAGGGTTATGTTACATGCAGGGCTTTTAGCAAAAGCATTGTGCATACAACAAGAATAAAAAATTTCGAATTCTTATTCCCCCAGGTTGTTTTGAAGTAGAGGTATATTGGAGACAATTGGAAGGCACTAAGACAGAGAGGCCGATGAGCAATACTGATACATGCCAATGTAATTGCATAGGATTCTCACAAGCCATAGAAAGCAATGAGACCCCCCCAAGATGTACCTGGTCGGCCACTCTGTACACTTCTTCCCTTTGGCTGCAGTCGCAGGTGTAGGCATGCGCTCTGGTGGCTCCTGCATCCCGAGCTGCCTGTAGGCTCTCCTCATTGGCCTCTTTATTCACATCCCAGAGAACAAGCACAGCTCCCAGGCGGGCGAACTGTAGGGCTAAGAGCCTTCCGAGTCCACTCCCAGCACCTGTTATGAGGACTATTTCTCCAGCAACATTCTTCTTGGGCTTTGAGATCAATTGGAAAAGTAGGGCCTCCAAAATACTAAACAGCGACTTTCCTAAGAAAACAAACATGTCTTTTGCCGATTCCAGGTTGGAAGACATGGTCCGGCCAACACCTTGAAGGCAAGAGAGAGTTTTTTTCAGTTTCCTTTCCTGAGGGAAAGTATCGAGAACGTGATACAAATGTTCTTTCTGGCAGCCGACACCGAACTCAGGAGCAGACAGGAATACAGCAGCCTATGACATCGGGTCCAGCTTTCACACACGGCCTCCAGCTCCATTCAAATCTGCATACCAGCTTTGGGCTACACGTAACAATGCTTGTTAATTGGCAACTGGATCCACCTCACCCAAACTTATGCCAAGGGGCGTGCCTGGATTCCTTTCCTGTTAACCTTTGCCTCACTAACTATCCATCCTGACACGCTGTTCAGTGATCCTGCCACATCCTGATATGTGTGTTATAACTCTTACGGTGCTACGCTTTTGTCTCCTTTTCAGTTTCCTCTTCCTCATTTGTAGTACAGTTCTTTCATTTGGTGGTGCTGCTTAAGATTTGAAGGGAAAGGATTTAGTTCAGTGTAAGGGTGCTGGCCTAGCCGGTGTGAAGCCCTGACTTCCATCTGATTCCCAGTGCAAGAGCAAAAGAGATTTGAGAGAAAGAGGAAGCTGTAAAATCCTATCTGCACAGAGTATTTGAGGAGAAGTGACTGGGGCTCCATCTACACCCTGAGTCCCTTCCGGAGGCTGAGGGCCCCATCCAGTCATCTCCCCTCACTTACAGGTTGGGTGAGATGAACTTGGATGCCTTCTCTGCCTCTGGGAGATGCGTGGCAGTCCTCTGTGTCTCTGGATCTCTCTCTCCTCTCTCCTAGGCTTGGGTGTTAGGAAAGTTCTGTACCTGAGATGAGAATGTGCCATGATCTCTCATAGCTCTGGCTCACAGACAGTGTTTCACAGATGGTACCAGTTGTCTTGGATTCATAGTACAGATCACCAAAAAGACCCAACAGGTTTTTGGGATGGGATAAGGGCTTCCCTGAGTGGGATGTCCCATTGAGAGGCTCAGATGCAGGTCTAGGTTTCCAGAGATAGGGCAGACAGTAGTGGGCCTGCACTTGGCTGGTTGGCTGAGGACCAACTAAATGCTGTCAATGATAAGGGGTGGTCCAGTTCACTTTTAGAAGGGTTTACACGTGGGTTAACAAGGGTTTGGCATGAAGTTGATGCGGCCTAAGCTCATTTCTGGCTTATTCTATACAGATATGACTGGCAGATAAAGAGGACATGTATGGGCCTGCCCAAGGCCACTGAGCTAGCACTAGGCTGGGCTGGCTCCACGTTATGTGTTCATCAAGTATCAGCTTCAATTGGCTCTCTGTACGCTGGAGCTGCTGGCCCTTGGTTTTCTCATAACCTCAGGATCGGGACCCCAACTGTTCTAAGTGGAGAAACAGATTGTCAGCACAGAATTGGCTCATCACAAGCAAGAGTGTCATAGAGAAAAGTTCTCTCTGGTGGGAGACTTGATCCAGATTGGAAAAAAGCAAGAGGGAAAGATTGCTGGGAGTAACCTTACCAATGATGGGCATCAGGAATCAGAGACTGGGCAGTAGCTTGATGGGTCCTGATCTGTGCCTCTGGGGTTTTTCTGGTTAATAATGCTCCTGGGAGGAGACTGAGGTTCAGATCTGTGCTTCAACACTGGGTTTTACTGTACTCTGGGAGCAACAACTCAAACCCTCTGCCAGCGTTGCTCTGATTTATTCCCAGAGTAACTCTGGAAGATTGACTATGATCCTTAGGCAATGTGCAATGGGGTCTCGAAGGAAGACTCCCATTTTAATATGCAATCCCAGGGTGTGTTCCTGCAGCCCCCGTCAGGGCTGTATGTATGCCAAATTGTGCACACAGTGAAGGGACACTCTGGCCACCCTTTGGACACAGTGCATCTCACTTCCACTATTCTTCCCACTAGCAGGTGACACAGCCAGGCCACTATGTCCCCTTTTTGCCACAATATCATCATGCCATCTCCTGCCAGAAGACAGAGCTCTGCTCAGTGGTCCCCAGCCCTGTGCAGAAGGGTCAGGACGATGCAAACCCTGGAACAAGGCCTGGCTTTTCCCTGTCTTGGCAGATGTGTCCTCAGAGCCTGGTAGCACATAGTAGCCTCCAGGTCAAGTTTAGGGTGTCTTCTGTGTTTTCACATGAGGACAGAGGTTGTAGTATTTGGGTTAGAATTCTACATCTGTCAGTGCCTTCCTTGCCATCTCTGATCAGCATTATTTCTTCGCTGGGATCTCAGTCTTCTCTAAGAAGCTAATGTTCATGCAAATGCTATGCTCTGGGGTTGCAGGAGGGAGCAGGAGCAGCGCAGGGCCGCCATTAGTGATTAAAACCATTTGGACCACTTAAGAAGAAATAAAGGTAGGCATCAGCCTGCACACAGATGTCACCTAGGAAACACAATTCGGAGAAGGTGGCTGGCTTTTAGTCACAGCATCATCTCCGTATCTCCTTCACAGCCTCCAGAAGGCGAAATATTCAGAACATGAATGCTGTGCTAGAGATGGGCCCAGAGGCAGCTCTGTTAGTACCTAGTGCTGTCATGGGCATTTGCAGGAACAAACGGCCCAATGTTCTCTAATAAGACACTTGAAAGGTGGTTATATCAAGTACACTGACAAGCAAAAAGCGATCGTACACCTTAATTTTATCATAATGATTTTTTTCTTAGGAAGACGCGAATGCACTCCATTTAATCGGCATCTTCCTCCCCAGTCCAAAGCCGAGATAACTAGGCACAAAGTAAGTCCACAGCAGTTGCTCTAAGCCCAGGGTCCCTATGGCAGCAATACTTCTCTGGTTCCAGGGTGATAGACATGGTCGTGGCAGATAAACCAACAACCACAGCTCCGAAAAGGGGTGAGCGAGAGGTTGCAGGGAGGAGGTTGTACATATGCAGGTCTGGGCAGCATGCCCGAACAGGGCCAAGCAGGCACCCACGCTGTTCACCCTCGAGGGACAGACGTCTGGATTTGTCCAGAACACCGCTGTCCTGCGGTGGGGGCCGACAAGTTGTTGTCTTGGGGCTTGGTGTTAGTCCAGGACTGCTGAGGTCCCCTGGGCTAAACTTTCATGACGGGGTCTGGTCACCTCATTAGAAGCAGCCAGGGACTCTGGGATCTTGCAACTCACCTAGGACACAGCTTCCTCTCTGGCTACCACGGCGAAGCAAACCACTTCGTAGGTTTCAGGCACCCAGGTCCCAGGCTGGCAGCTCAGCGAGGTTCTTGTGTTTATGCCTGGGCAGGCTGAAGCACAAGTCCAAGGGCGGGACTGCGCTCCGCGGTGGGTGGAACCTCAGCACGCACACAGGACTCTACACACTGCGTGGGTCTGGAGTCCTTCCTGCAGGTGGTAACCGGATAGTGGGGACTGTACGTGCTCTCCAGTTCTACCCATTCCTTTTAAAACGTCCCATGCCCAGGCAGATTCTTAAAACAGAATCTCTGGGTTGAAAAGGACAGAGTCAGGGGTAAGAGACTTTCCAACCCCAGGTGTGCTTGCAAGGGCATGCGGGGTTTTACAGGGTTTAGGGACCAAGCAGCCTGCGGTTCAGGGCACAGATGTGAAATTCTTCAATGCTTTCTGATTCTGTCACTTGGAGCCTAAAGTCTCAGGTGTCTGTAAGGAATGGAGGTGTGAGGTTGGGATCTGTCAGGAGGTGGGTGCGTGGTGACTGGGGTGCCTATGGCTCAGTCAGGCAGGGGGCCAAGAGAGAATTTGTTTTAAGAAGACAAGGTTGAGCAATAAAAGTAAGTAGAGTAATGGTCATTGGTGTACGATGACCTGTTTCTAAAGCATTGCTTGTGTTCAAAGACCCAAACAAAGCACAGCTGTAATATAACAGACAAGAAAACAAGCGAAATCAATAAAATTAGTGAGTGATCTGATGGGAGCGGCTCGCCACCGATGAGCTTATAATGGAGAGTGTGGTTTCATGGGTGGCACCGCAGCGAACAGGAAAAACCGGAAGCAAGAACCAGCTTGGGTGTGGATGTAAATTTCAAGAGTGGGAAGGGGCAGAGCAGGTGGGCAAGGCCCAGAGGAGGGCAGCTGCAGTCAGACTTTGTCTGGGACAGGCTTGGGCAAGAAGAGAAAGCCTGGAAAAGAAGTGGGTAGGGAAAGCTTTGTCTGCGTCCTCAGTGCTTAGAAGTTTGCCTGGCAAAAGCAGGCCAAAGTTTGGGTGGCTGTCCTGTGGGACAGGTGTGTGGGCATTGCTGTTAGGTTAGCCATCATCACCCGGGCACATCTCTGGGAAATCTGAAGAGTTTCTAAAGAGACCATGAACAATTGTATAACGAGGAGTCAGTCATCTCAGATGCCTCTAGGGGCTGTGAAAGCAGGCAGGCAGCCAGCCAGGCAGCCTAGCGAGAAGACATAACAGGATGTAGAGACCTGGGGGTGCTGCAAAGGGAGAACGGACCAGGGTGAACAGGGGAGGGATACCTAGGGATGATGGTGGGCTGAGGTTTGAGGGCGCCTCCGTCATGCAGTCTGTCTGTGGGTTCAGACGGATGGACACTGGAGAACACCAGCCTCCATTGCTTCATGGCTTCTCTTAGCAGAATCCTGGAATGTCACCTGTCTCTCTGCCGAGACATCGGGGAGTGACCTCAAGGAAGAAATGAGCATTATTAGGAATTTCTTCAGTACAGAATATGGGTGTGGGCAACATGGGTGTGTGGCAGGCGCAGCCGGAGCAGCTGCGAGCCTGAAAGGCAAGGGCTCTGCTTCGACTTGATGGTGGGAGACCCAGGCTTGGTTGCTACCCTGAAAGCTACAAGAGGGTTCCTGAATGGAGTCCCTCCAGAAGGGAAAGAAATGGACAGTTTATGTTGGAAACCATTTCATGGGCTAATTGACATAGGGGACATGGTCTCGGTGCAGTCTGAGTTTCTTGGATTAGATAGAGAAACACTAAAGGATAATTCCTTTCAAATGGACAGATCCTTTGAGAAAGAAGATGTGTTCATATCGGGAGGTAGGGTGTCAGTTATGTAATCCTCAAATACTGACACACGTGCATACACACACACACACACACACACACACACACACACACACACGACCTGAAAAGCATACACCCTCTGACCCCATTCTTTCCAGGGAGTCAGGCACTATTGTTGCTTTTCAGAGGGGAAAGTGGGTCTCGGGTAGTCAGAGATGGAA